TACTCACCAGATCTGGAACTTGAGCAGCGGCCCCGTGGCATACTGCATCTTTAATCTCTTGCTGGGCACGCCGCCCAGGTTGGCAGAGGCCTCGCTGCGGACCACCGCCGACGCCGCCACCAGGAGAAGCAGCAGGAACCTCATCTTAGTCGAGACAGCCGCTCCGGCCGCCTTCACACCGAGACTGCAGCCGGCCCACAAGCTAGCCACGAACTGCTCCCCACTGCGCAGGCGCGCTCCGCCAAGGTCGGCGAGGAAAGCCGGAGTGCGCCTGCGCAGCTGGCGTCCGCGCCCATTGTGGATGGAGAGCTGACCTGTGTTGCTGTCTTGATCCAGCACCATCTTGGATGTGTGCAAACACTGAACGGGTACAAGACAGAGCAAACACTGAACGGGTACAAGACAGAGGGGGAGGATTTTTGCTGGTGAGATATAAAGGGGGCCCATAATTGTTTCAATTGGCAAAAATGAACTCTACATTCCCTTTTTGGTTTGGTTTTTTTTTTCTCCTTTTTCAAGACAGGATTTCTCTGCCTGGCAATTTTGGAACTAGCTCTGTAGAGACGGCTGGCCTGAAATTTACAGAAATCCGCCTGCTTCTGCCTCCCGAGTGCTGAGATTAAAGGGGTGTGCCACCACCGCCGGGCCCATTTTTGTTTTGAAAGACATTCTCATATAGCCCAGACTAGCTTCTGTGTAACCTATAAGCCTGGAATGCCTGATTCTCCTGCCTCTGGCTCCTGAGTCTGGGGATTATAATCAGGTCTGCTCACCAATGTCATCGGCATTGTTAGGGGTTGAGCAATTATTTGTACATGATAGACACGGACTGTACTACTGAGCTACATCCCCAGCTCTTCTACATCCAAGGGAACTCCCAAATGTTTAATGGTTTTTCCTTTACTCTTATAATATTGATCTCTCCTAAAAGAATATTTAAAACAAATTTTAGGTCTCCTGTAAGATAATCACACCTGCTCCAAGGTGCAGCTTGATCATCATAGATAATTGGTTTCATTTTGGGGTGACAGTGGTGGTTTGTCCTACAAGGTTCCTGTTGCTTTTGATGTTGGGCCTTTATGGTAAAGATGCTCAATTCAGGCCAGACTGTGGTGGCACTCGCCTTTAATCCCAGCACTCATGAGGCAGAGGCAGGCGAATCTCTGAGTTCAAGGCCAGCCCGGTCTACAAAGCAAGTGCCAGGACAGCCAGGGCTACACAGGGAAACCCTGTTTTGGGAAGTGAGAGGGGGTGGGGGACACGGGACTGTGGGGAGATATTTATTGCTTAGAGCTGTTGCTCTTGGACTCCAAGGTGTCTGCAAGTTAGGACAATTTTTGGAGGCTTTCCAGTGCTGCCGTTGTTGGAAGACATTTTAGATAAAATCGTACAGTGAACAGTTCCTTTCTGCATATTTGTCATAGAAAGTAGGATTCCTAATGTGTCACCTTGCAGAATGTATAGTTATATAGGAAAGATGTTGCTGGAAGATGCTGATTAATGGTAATAAAACTGTGGGCATTATCTTAATGGGGCATGGTAGGCCACACTTTTCATCCCAGCACTCAGGAGGCAGAGGCAGGTAGAGCTCTGCATGTTCGAGGCTAGCCTGGTATATATAGTGAATTCCAGGACAGCCAGAGCTACAGAGAAAAACCTTATTTCAAAACAGCAAACTATGGACATTATCTGAAATTCATTGCTGGGCATTTTTACAGAAATAATTGTTACACAATATTTACATTGGAATATAAAATATAATTACATAAATCACAATTTCAAGGATATTTTAATAGTGGGGGAAATGCTTATTATTGCAGTGAGAAATGGAGGATATAGAATTCTGTTTAGTGTATCCCTTTATGTGTCTAAACTTCCATCAGCAAACAGGCCAGTGTTTTGAGTGTAGCTCAATCAAGTGTTTGTATCCTCCTCATTTTTTTTTCTATATCTCCCTCTCTTCCCCCCAAACAATGGATATATTATTTTTGTATTATCACAAATATATTCTCAATTATTTAAAATGAGGATGAGGTGGGGAACACAAAAGCTCCTTAGGAATCTAATAAAATCCTTTCTCCTAGAGTTTTTCTTTGATTTAAATTATTTGGGTTTGGATGATGATTTGGTCTTTTTTAGATAGATTCTTAGTATAAGTTCTCCTGCATCTGCTTTCCAAGTGATGAGATGATAGGTGAGTACCACAGTATCTCTTTTTTTTTTTTTTTTTTTTTTTTTTTTTTTTTTTTTTTGGTTGAGACAAAGTCTGGTGTAACCTGGGCTGTTTTCAAGCTACCTATATAGCTTAGCCTTGAACGGCTGGTCTTCTTGCCTTCAGTTCCCAGTTCTGGGATTAGGTGTGCACTGCAAGGTCAATGAGAAGAAAAGATAGACAAGGGAGTATGCTCAATGGTCAGTGAGCTCCAGGGTTCATCAGCCTTTACTTCCCCATGACTGAGACTGTCTAAAATAATCACACCACTGGAATAAGTTCAAAGAGAAACAACTGGCTCTTTATATGATTCTTCAGAGTTTGGGTACATGTGTTAAGAATTGAAATGTCTGTGTACTCTGCTCCTCAACCAACAAAACCTCAGTTGTGAAAAAGTAAAATAATAATAATCACAACCAGGGCTGGAGAGATGGCTTAGTGGTTAAAAGATCTGGTTGTCTTTCCAAAAGACCTGGTTTCCATTCCCATCATCCACATGGTGGCTAACAATTGTATTTCCAGTTTCAGGGGACCCGACACCCTCTTCAGGCTCAGACATACATGCAAGCAAAACATCCACACACATAAAAAAAAATTAAAATAATCACATCCACTTTCTTTTTTCTTTTCTTTTCTTTCTTTTTCTTTTTTGAGACTGAGTCTCTCTAAGTAGCTCTGGCTGTTTTGGAACTCATTATCTGGACCAGGCTTATGTCTAACTGACAGAGATTCACCTGTCTCTTCCTCCTGAGTACAGCATATTCCACTACTGTTGTAATTTAAGAAAAGTGGCTTCTGAGAGAAACACCATGTGACAGGGTTTAAGCAGAGGAGTTTTTTATTAGGGAAAGGGATCATAAAAATGGGAGGGGGAGACTGGCCTCCAGGGACAGGAGAGAGGGGAGGAGGGAGAGAGAGAGAGGAAGAGGAAAAGAAAGAAAGAGGAGGGTAGGAGGTGGACAGGACCCTTTAAAAAGGGAACACAGTGAATATGTACAGGTGGTGCTCTTAGTGTCTGCAGCTGAGAGCCTATCCTGTCAGAACCCCAAGGACAGGCCAGTACAGATACCTGAAAGTATGCCTGGCTTTAATTGTTTTTTCCTTACATTTGAGTGTGTGTGTGTGTGTGTGTGTGTGTGTGTGTGTGTGTGTACTTGTGTGCACTGTGCAATGTGCAGGCCAGAGAACAACCTATGGCAGTTGGTTCTCCCCTTCGACCTTGTGACTTACGTGAATTAAACACAGATTGTCAGGCTCCACAGCAAGTGCCTGAGCCATTTCACCAGTACAAACAAGGACAGCCCCTAGGACTGAGCACTTTATCAAAAAGGTCATCTCCCTGGCCCCTATTTTCTTATTTTGGCACTGATGATTAAATATTAAAGTTTGTTTACTACAGCCATGGTGTCACAATGTTGCTGGCTGTCCTGGAACTCTCTATGAAGACCAAGCTAGCCTCAAACTAACAGAGATCTGCCTGTCTCTGCCTCCTAAGTGCTAGGATTAAATGCCCAGCCTACAAGGTAAAAAAACAAAAACAAAAAAACCCCTTCAAGTTCAACTATTGTGATAGTGATAGTTGAACCATTGTGATAATGAAGGACTATCCGTTCAGTGAATAATAGGCCTATAAAACATTTAGAATTATTTATGCTGGGCAGGGAAGTAGATAGGCTAATTGCAGATTTTCACCATTCTCTCTACTCCATCAAGTTCAATCCCCCAGTCCTATTGCCAGTTCTGTAGCAGAGTACCTGCTACAGATTCCCTTCCTCTCTGGCACCCATCTCCAGTGGATTACACAGATATTCCCCTCTAAATATCCTCCCCCCAACTCATTGTCCCAGCACTCAACTCCAGCAGGCACTCCCTGGGAACCAGTCAGCCACTCCTGGCAGTGAAGCAGGCAAATTGACTGCAGATCTTCACCTCTACCTCCATTCTTCCAAGTCTAAGCTGCCAGTCTCATCCCCAGGTCTGCAGAAGACCTTCTGCTGTGGCCTCTCCTTACTCCATGCCCCCTTTCCAGGGGACTAAACAGATGCTGATGGAACATCCTGCCTTCCTCATGAGAAATCACCAACCCCAGTACATCCATCTCCATTTCTAAGTCTGAGATCCCAATACTGAGAAACACAATTTACCTGGAACTGCCAGTGCTTACATCTATAAGGACTCCAAAAGGTTTTCCAGTAGTCACTAAACTTTCCTAAGGACAAGAGAGAACAGAGGAAACCAAGGAACAAAACACTCAACAACAAAGAAAGGACCAGATAGCAGCACCTAGAATTACAGTCTTCCCATCCCAGATGCTTAGACACAAGTATAAAAAAGAAAAAAAAAAAATCAACAACAGCCAGGACAGAATGTCTCCTTGAGAGCCCAGCAACCCTACCAGAACAGGCCCTGAATATTCCAACATAGCTGAAGCACAAGAAAAAGACCACAAACCAGGCTTTATGAGTATGTTAGATGTCCTTAAATAGAAAATGAATACATCCCTCAAAAGAATCCACGAAAACACAGACAGTGGAAGAAAATAAATAAAACCACAGAAGACATGAAAATGAAAATAGAATCAATAAAGAAAACCCAAACTGAGGGAAGTAGAAAATTAAAAAAAAATTAGGAACTCAACAGGAACCACAGAGGCAAGCTTGACCAATAGAATATAAGAGACGGAAGAATCATACATAGACATTGAAGACATGATAGAAGAAATGAATACATAAGTCAAAGAAAATATCAAATCTAAAAAGCTCCTGGCACAAAACATCCAGAAAACTCAAGTACACTATGAAAAGATCAAATCTAAGAAAAACAGAACTAGAGGACAGAGAAGAAGCATCAAAGGCACAGAAAATAATCACAACAAAACCATAGAAATTTCCCTAACCCGAAGAAGATGCCTATAAAGGTACGAGAAGCACACAGAACACCAAATAGGCTGGACCAGAAAAGAAAGACTCATCAGCACATAATACTCAAAACACTAAATGTACAAAGAACCAATACTAAGAGCTAAAAGAGAAAAAGACCAAGTAACATATAAAGGCAGACCTATTAGAATTATGGTTGACTTCTCAATGGAGACTCTAAAACTCAGAAGATCCTGAACAGATGTCCTGTAGACCACAGCCAGAACTACAAAGAGAAACCCTGCCTCAGAAAACCCAAAAGCAAACAAAAAACAAACAAAAACTCAACCCAGGGCCAGACAGCTTTAGCACAGAATCCTTCCTGACTTTTTAATACAGTATTTATTTGTCTTTTCTCTGTCAAACCCCGAGCCAAGCATTTTCCCCAGACTTCCTGGGGAGGTACAGGAAAAGGGACATACAGGGCAGAACTACGGGAGGTGGAAGTGGAGACAGCTGCTTCACATGGCAAAAAGGATGAGAAAAGCCACCATTAGGCAAAAGAGCTCCATGACCTCTGAGAGGGAAAAGTCCAGAATCTTGTAAAGACCTGTTGCTTCAGAGAAGCAATAACCAATGATGAGGCTCCCCAAAACAGTCCCAATCCCAGCCCTAGAGCCAGCTACCCCAACTGTAGCAGCCCCAGCCATAATGAACTTGGTTGCTGTGTCTATGTCCCTGGAAATGATGCTGGTTTGGAAGCTGCAGCTAGGGACAAGTGAGGTCTGAGGACGAGGGGCTGCCAAGCTGCTGAGGCCCTCATCTGTCCACGTCTGTGGTCGATTCAGCTCCACTGCAGACAGAGGATGACACAGCAGCTGATAGGTGCTCCTGATGAAGGAACAGGTGGAGATGAACTTGGAGCAGGCATACATTTTCAGGGGTGAGAGGTCAAGGCAGGAGAGCTGCTCCCAGGGGAGAGAAGACAGACAGGGGGCCCTTCCAGACTTTCAAAGAAGTTTTAATGCCAATACACCTCAAATTATTTCACAAAATAGAAACAGAAGGAACACTGCCCAATTCATTTTATAAGGCCACAGTTACCTTGACACCCAAGCTACACAAAGACCCAACAAATAAAGAGAAATATAGATCAATTTCCCTTATAAATATAGAAGCAAAAATAGTCAATAAAATACTGCAAACTGAATCCAAAAAGACATCAAAACGATCATCCACTATGATTAGGCCTAATCCAAGAGATGCAGGGATGTCTCAACATACATAAATCAATAAATGTAATCCACCATATAAAGAAACTTAAAGACAAAAAAATTTACAATCACCTCATTACATGCAAAATAGGCCTTTGACAAAATTCAATACTCCTTCATGATAAAAGTCCTAGAGAGATTAGATATAAAAGGGATATACCTCAACATAATAAAGGCAGTTTACAGCAATCCTGTAGCCAATATCAACTTAAATTCCACTAAAATCAGGAACAAGACAAAGCTGTCCATTCTCCATACCAATTCAATATAGAACTTGAAGTTCTAGCTGGAGCAATAAGACAACTGAAGGAGATCAAGGGGATACAAATTAGAAAGAAAGAAAAATCAAAGCATATGTATTTGCAGATGATTCGATAGTGTACATAAGTGACCCTAAAAATTCGACCAAGAAACTACTACAGCTAAGGTAAACACTTTCAGCAAGTTACCGGATACAAAATTAATGTACAAATATGGGTAGCTTTCCTATATATACAAATGACAAACACTCTGGGAAAGAAATCAGGGAAATAACACCTTTCACAATGCATCAGATAATATAAAAATATCTCAGGGATAACTCTAACCAAGCAAGTAAAAGATTTGTATGATAAAAATTTCAAGTCTTTGAAGAAAGAAATTAAGGAAGATATCAGAAGATGGCAAGATCTCCCATGTTCATGCATCAGTAGGATTAACATAGTAAGAATGGCCACTCAAACAAAAGCAATCTACAGATACAATGCAATCCCCATCAAAATACCAACACAACTTTTCACAGATCTTCAAAGGACAATTCTAGCTTCAAATGGAAGCACAAAAAGAATCCAGGATAGCTAAGACAACCCAGAACAATAAAAGAACTGCTGGAGGTAGCACCATTCCTGATTTCAGGTTGTAATACAAAGCTATAGTAATAAAAACAGCATGGTATTGGGTAAAAGCAGACACATTAGTCCAAGGAGTTAAATTGAAGACCCAGACATAAATCCACACACTAATGGATACCTGATTTTTGATAAAGAAGGCAGAAATATACACTGGAAAAAAGACAGGATCTTCAACAAATGGTGCTGGTCAAACTGGAGGTCTGCATGTAGAAGAATGCAAACAGAAACATATTTATCACCTTTCACAAAACTCAACCCCTAATGGATCAAAGACCTCAACATAAAACCAGCTACACTAAGCTAGGGAATAGTCTTTAACACATTGACACAGGAAAAGACTTTCTGAACAGAACAGGCACTAAGATCAACAATAGGCCCTTATGAAACCGATACGCTTCTTTAAGACAATGGACATAGTCATTCAGATAAAATGGTAGCCTATACAATGAAAATTTTATCCACTCCATATCTAATAGAGGACTAGTATCCTAAATACATAAAGAACTCAAGAAACTAGATATCAAACCCACTTATAGCATATAGATAGGTACACTCAATTTGTCAGTAAGCATGTGTATGCATGTGATGTGTCTGAGTTTTAGCCTAAATGTGCATCAGTGTGAATTTATTTAAATGCTACATTGCACACAATAGATTATTATAAATGATAGATGAGAGAGTACTGATAGGGAATGAGTTCCAAAATATTTTAAGAGAAAAGGGGTGCATAGGGGGATTTACTGACCTTTTCCTTTCTTTTTCATGTTTTCTGACCTCAATCTTGTGATACTCCTACCCCCACCCCACCTCCCACCCGTGAGCTCTGGGACCACAGGTATATGACATCACATTTGTACAGAAGTTTTTATATCCTATCATTTCTTTAAAATATACATGATAATATATATATATATATATATATATATATATATATATATATATGTATTTACACTTTGTACCTTTAAAAACTATTGATGAATGTTGCTGTAGAATACAGGCAAGAGATGTGTTTTCATTTTATGCTATTATTGTTTTTTTTTCTCCTTGAATTGTATATGTGTGCACTTTTTGTTTTCTTATTCTTTTGCTTTTTTGCTTTTTTCAAGACAGGGTTTCTTTGTAGCTTTGGAGGCTGTTCTGGAACTTAGCTCAGTAGACCAGGCTATCCTCAAACTCAGAGATCCACCTGTCTCTGCCTCCAGAGTGCTCCACCACCACTGCCCAGCTGTGTGTACTTTCTAAAGAAATAGAAAAATTAGTACTCTCATGAAGACTCAGTGGTAAAAGTACTTGTTGCCAATCCTGACAATCTGAGTTGATGCTCAGAGCCCACATGGAGGAGAGAACTGACTACTGCAGGTTGTCTTATAACCTTCACATGTGAGCCATGACACAGGACCATCCACTGAAACACACCCACCTAAACACCCAGTAAACAAATGTTAAGACAACAATAAAATATTCAGAAAATCAATTAGAGAAATATTCAGAGGAAAAATGTAGTGATATTTTGTCTGTAATCGAACAAAATAAAACTTGCCTGAAGATCAGAGTGCAGAGCTAAGCCCCTAGTTAGCTAGCCAGCCACACAACCTAAGTCACTAGTTGATCATAGAGGACTGGTGGCCACATCTTTAATCCCAGCACTAAGGAGAAAGGCAGATGTATCTCTGTGAGTTCAAGGCCACCCTGGCCTACATGAGAGTGAATCAGTCAAAGAGAATCAGAGCTCATACCTTTGATCCCAGCAGTTGAGATGACAGCCTTCAATCCCAGCACTAGAGGAATATAAGGCAGGAGCTCAGTGCAGTCTCAGTGCACTCTGAGGTTTGGAGGAGAGCATTGCAGTCACTCCGAGGACAGGATCACCCTCTTTGGTCTTGGCCCTGATAAAGGTAAGAACCCTCTACTGGCTTTGCTGCTTTGTTTTTCTGATCTTCTGCTTGAACCTCACTATCTGTCTCTGGGTTTTTATTTTTCATGCTATAGAAAAACAATCCACTAAAATAAGAAGAACTGGCAAATTTGGTAAAACACATGAATGGATCCCTAATAAAAAGAAATAGATGTAACCAATAACAAAAAAATCATTTTCAATTTAATTTGGCAAAGATTCAAAGGCCTTGTTACAGTCAACATCAACAAGCATGAAGAACTTTACTGGTGGACTAACAAATTATCCATTATTTGGCAGTGTTTATAAAAGTAACAGTGACCACAGTTTAGGACCCAACAGCCAGTGCCTTCAGGACACCAGCAGTGCTCCACAGGAAACTAGTGCATAGGCTTTGGAGTCAGACTATTTGTGTTCAACTCCATTTCCCAACACTGTCAGGTTTCCTTCTTTTTTAAATATTTATTTTTATTTTAAATGTATGAACATTTGGCCTGCATGTATATCTGTGTATGCCTGGTGCCTATGGAGGCCAGGGAAACCTTCAGAACCCCTGGAACTGGAGTTATAGCCATGGCTGCATGTGGGTGCTGGGACTCAAACTTGGATCCTCTGGAAGAACAGCCAGTGTCCTTATCTGAGCAGCCATCTCTCTAGCCCCTACAAATTTCTTAATTTTCTGGACTTAGTTTCTTCATTTATAAAATAGACAATATAGTAACATCCACTTCATGGTTTTGTTGTAAGTATAATACATCCTGTAAATTTGTAATAAAGAACATCTTAACTTGAAGGCAAAAAAATTTTAAAATGTCTTTATTTATTTATATAGGAAATACTGTTATCTATTAAAAACAAATGTCTGTCAATTTGTTAAGCTTTTCTGAAAAACAATCATCTCTCTTTATCACATACTGACATGATACAGGGTGCAGACATAAAAGTCAACTTAATAGACATCATTAAATAATCACACATATGCAGCCTTGGATAAATGGTTAAAAATACAGACTGATGTGAAAAGTGGGCATGTGGAGACTCCATGAACACTATGGGACTAACAGATTTGCTTAGACTGGTTCCGGCCAACAAATTTGCTTTCTGTGGATCTTCAAATTCCCAATTCCAAATCTTCAAGCTCTCGGAGAAGGGCGGTCTCTTTTTGAATTTTCTCCAACTAAAAACATTTCAAACAATAAAGTTATTAAATAGAAAATAATTATTGGATCTATAACCTAACAGTATAAAGGACAAAACTTAGAGATGGAATATTCTTATACTTTATCAGATCCACTGGTAAACCCAGATTAGAAAGCAATTCTGACTTGTTTCTGTTATGAATAAGGCACAATGCATGAAGCTATCCCTTCAGTGCATTTCCTGCATCTACTTGTACTTAAAAGTACTGAAAACAGCCGGGAGGTGGTGGCACATGCCTTTAATCCCAGCACTTGGGGAGGCAGAGGCAGGTGGATCTCTGAGTTCGAGGCCAGCCTGGTCTACAGAGGGAATTCCAAGACAGGCTCTAATAATAGGCAAAGAAATCCTATCTCAGAAAAGAAAAAAAAAAAAAAAAAAAAAAAAAAAAAAAAAGGAAGGAAGGAAAGGAGGAAGGGAGGGAGGGAAAGGTGCTGGGAACAATGGGAGGAAAAAAGCAAGCAGGACAGTTCGATAGGAGGAAACCCTAACTATTGTGATTACTTTTACAGTGACAGCATTAGGATACCCTTAGGAACCATGACTCATTCACCATGATCTAGGACTGAGCTTCCCCTATCACAGACAAAACTTTTAAGGATATTAAAAAGAAAATTAAAAAGATTAAAAAGAATTTTGCAAACAGTTTCCCAGATAAGTTTTTCAATTCTGTTCTTTTTTTCCTGACTGAATGAGGAATATATAAATGAGGGTGGGGGGTGGAGGGATATAGGGGTGCTAATGACTGAGCCCAAATGGAAAGTGAAGCCTTACCTGATTTTTCTCTAGCTGTTTCCCAGAGGCTGCCTGCTCTTTCAGTTGCTCTATTGCTTTTAGTTTCTGTGAAATCAAATAAGGAGGAGAAAAAGTTACTTTCTAATGCAAATTACTTTATCAGCAACAGCCATACTACATTTCTTTCAAAGATGGTCTGTTAAAAATGCTAAAATGGGGGGGGGGAGAAAAAAACTGGGATTTGTACATAAGATAAGATTGTTTTAAAAATAATAAAAATAGCCAGGCGGTCGTGGTGCATGCCTTTAATCCCAGCACTAGGGAGGCAGAGGCAGTCAGATCTCTGTGAGTTCTACGCCAGCCTGGTGTACAGAGAAAATTCCAGGACAGGCAACAAAGCTACAGAGAAACCATGTCTCAAAAAAACAAAAATAAACAAACAAACCAAACTAAAGCAAAACCCCCCACACACAAACAAACAAAACACCACGGGATTGGAAAAAATAGGTTTTTGCAATTTTTTTTTCTTATTCTGCCTGTGGGTGTGCACACAGGCACCTAAGCTGTGGCGCACACACAGATGCAGAGTAACACTCTGTAGTCTGGTTTCCCTCTCCTTTCACCTCTCTGTGAGTTCTGAGATCAAACTTGGGTTGTCAGGCTTGCATAGCAAGTTTTATGTACAGGTGTGGATTCACAAGTACAACACAGATTTCAGCATCTACCTCAACATTCCATTGTGGCAGGGCAACATCTCCGCCTTTTGGAGAATCCTCACCCCCAGGGCTGTCCCACCTTTAGTATCTGTTCCTATGTAACT